TCACTCCTCTCCCACACAGCGGTGCTGGAGAAGCCCCTAGAGAAGAAAGCAGGGCGTAACTATGGACCTCCAGGCAGCAGAAGACTCATCTACTTCTTAGATGACATGAATATGCCTGAAGTGGACGAATATGGCACCGTGCAGCCTCACACACTCATACGRCAACACATGGACTATAATCACTGGTAAGGCTATGACATTATACTGCAGCTATACTGCAGCTATGACACATTTCCTGTAAGTATGAGTAAACATGGGTACATGACGGTGCAGTTTTAAAAAAAGAATATTATGTCTAGACCGTCTTCCTGGGTGGAAGCGGGGAAACTGTTCCATGCTGTAATTGCTTAATGATGGACACTTTCAGACATTTTCTCCATGTATTAACACAGAAGAGGATCATTCAGATAATGGAGTGCCAGCAGCTGATAGGTGTAATACCCTAATAATTCACATGAGCAGCCTTTCTGCTAAAAACGCTTCCCCTTTAGTATTCAGACAGATCCCCGCTTCAGTATCAATGTGCTACAGCTTCTATAAGAGTCAAAAGTCAAATGTGAGAGCAGCATTTGTATGATTCCCCTTAAAAGGATTTTGTTGCTCATCTCTCTGACACAGTGAGGCCATTCTGAACATGGTTCCACTGCGTCAGACACAGGCTGACTGGCTTAGACACAGTCAGCCCATTAGAGATATGCTGGGAGGATTTCAGGTGTGCAATTGAGAGGAAGGAGGGTTTTACTGAGCCACGCCAGCTTAAGTGGGAGCTGAGGCATACATATCGGCATAAGTGTGGGGAAGGTGTTCGGGTGTGTGGGAGCTAGGTTGTCTGTTTTCTGTGCATATCGAGGCCGTTAAATAATGATTTTTTTGTGTGTGTACTCTCAGGTATGACCGTACTAAGATGGTGTTGAAGGAAATAAAGAACGTTCAATACGTGTCCTGCATGAACCCCACAGCTGGCAGCTTCACCATCAATCCACGACTGCAGGTACACACACACACACACACACACACACACACTTCTGGCCACATGGTTTGTTTGCATTTTGTTGTTTGTTTGTTTTGTTTTGAGATATACCAAGTAGGTCTACATGCATCCTGATTATTATTAGGTTTTTATTTTAATATGTTTAAGATTAGGTGGGGATTAATTTCTTTTTTCAAGACTCCTTGCCAGTGACAGCCAGTGGCCAGAGACATTATGTTTTCAAGTTGTCCGTCCCAATCCCTTTGACAACAATATCTCAATGCTTTGAAGAAGTTTAACTAAACTTTTCCACTTGATTGTCATGTTAATTATTAATGATGATTAGAGATAGTCATATTTGAATTTAAAAGGCACATTTACTTGATGCTGCAAACATTCACAGGTTGAGGAACAACATTTTTATTGTTGCCTTGTTTGTTCTGTGTCTCCAACAGCGGCACTTCTCAGTCTTTGCTCTGTCATTTCCTGGAGCTGAGGCCCTGAGCACCATCTACACCTCCATCCTGTCTCATCACTTGAAAGGAGCAGGCTTCACCACTGCCCTGCAGAAGAGCTGCTCCACCCTGGTCCAGTTAGCCCTGGCCCTGCACCAGCGCATCTCCTCCTCCTTCCTGCCCACCGCAATCAAGTTCCACTACATCTTCAACCTGAGAGATCTCTCCAACATCTTCCAGGTGAAACATAGATAGAAAGTGTATGAGAAGGATTAATCCACATAGACGTTCTTTGAGAGAAAAGAATGACCTCAGGTTAATCTTTGCACAATGAAATGTCAGGAGTTGCCTGGGAGTTGTGGCTTCTTCACTTCACCCCCTTTTCCTTTTTTCTGTCACTAATTTAAACCAATTAAAAGTCAAAGGATTAGTTCATTCACACATACAGGGGAAAAAACATCTTGAATTTTGTAGATCTGGAGAAGTGGCGATAATTCTGGCTCAGTACACACGCACACAAATAAACACACAGCACAGCTCCCCCATCTGCACCATTACACTGTGGATTTAGCAGCCAATTGTCACAATCAGTGGCCTCAGATATGAACACTTCTGAGACCGTGCAATGAAAGGAAAGCACTGCCGTTATTTTTCTGAGCTTGCCCACTCAATATCAATTGATTTACCCAGAGTGACTGTGCTGTATTTCCCTCCTCTTGGTGTTAATGGGCCAAATCAGCCTCTGGAATGAAACTCTAAGCATTGCTCTCCCCCCATCTCTGCCCAGGGCATTCTCTTCTGTACCAGCGAGTGTCTGAAAGCCCCTGCGGACCTGCTGAAAATCTACCTGCACGAGTGCAACCGGGTCTACAGAGACAAGCTGGTGGAAGAGCAGGACTTCCAGGCCTTTGATAAGCTGCAGGCGGACACAGTGAAAAAGTTCTATGAGGTAAGAGTTTTTTACAAAGTTCAGCCTAGGAAGACAAGAAGGAGGGAGCAGGGAGAGGAGGTGGAGGAAATCATTAGGCTGCCTGCTCTGTGTCTGGACCTCGACATCAGTGGTCAACACAGCGAGGAGAAAGAGCAGAGGAGAAAAAAAGAATGTTTTTTAGTGTGGGTGGGGGGTGATGGGACAGAGGGCCAGGAGAGGGTTAGTGAGAATATTAATCAGTATGGTATGGGGGCCTGGCTGTCAGGGTCTGTGCTGTCAACCCAGCAAATTGGAAAACATTTTAATGGTTTTCTGTCCACTGCTCCCCTCACTACCCTCTCTGGCTCTATTGCATGCACACTAGTCATGGCACAATGAAGATCCTGACAAGTCTATATGTACAGACACACACAGAAATAGAAGGAGAAGAAAAGTAATCCACTCTAGAATATATTATTTAAAGCTCACACCTTCTGCAAACGAATGGCAATTTGCCCCCGTGCCACAGAACAATATGCAGCATGTTTTCTTTACACGCAAACAAGAATATCTTTAGAGAACACAGAGCAAATCTCTCCAGTGAAATAATTTGTTGCCCAATAGTTGCTAGGGTGAAAATGAACTAGGTCACCCTCTGCGCAGCTGTGATATTCAGCTGTGTCCCTGTCCAGACTGTTTAAGCTTAACACTAATGTTATGCTGACAGGGGTAGCATGTGTATTCCTATGTTTACCACTGCAATATGTGTTTGTGTATCCCTCCCTAAGGACATGGACGAGACTCTAGAGCAGACCAAGGAGATGAACCTATACTGCCACTTTGCCCAAGGGCTGGGGGAGCCCAAGTACATGGCTGCAGAGTCCTGGAGCACCCTCAACAAAACCCTGCTGGAGGGGCTGGACAACTACAATGAGATCAATGCCACCCTAAACCTGGTGCTGTTCGAGGATGCTATGGCTCACGTGTAAGTGGAAGTTTTGCAAACCTCTGGGACTGTGTGGCGAGACTACAGAAGGAGTAAAGAAAAAGTGTTTTTGTCTGAAAAGGAAAGCCAGTGGCTTCCCAGGTGTTTTGGTCTTAACAGTTCCATTTCACACATGAACCTGTATAACTCCTTCCCCCATCTCCCTGCACCTCCACATGTAGCTGCCGCATAAACCGAATCCTGGAGTCTCCACGGGGTAATGCGCTGCTGGTCGGAGTGGGCGGCAGTGGCAAGCAGAGTCTGACCCGACTGGCTGCCTTCATCTCCAGTCTAGAGGTTTTCCAGATCACCTTGAAGAAAGGCTACGGGATCGCTGACCTGAAGGTATGAGGAGAATTA